GCTGCTTTTTCCCTTTCCCCAGAGACTCACAACTCCTCTATGTGTTTGTGGATTGCTTTGCATGTCTCATAATTGTTAAAGACTTGACATTGGTAGCGAATGTCAAGTTTTAGCAAATCTGCATTTCTGGATTATGATCCCTCCTTTATTATTAATGTTGCTCTTGTCTTCCTTCCTTCCTTCCTTCCTTCCTTCCTTCCTTCCTTCCTTCCTTCCTTTCCTCCTTCTCCTCCTCCTCCTCCTCTTGGTGTGTGTTTGTTTAGGGACTTGTGGGAACTAATTTGGTAGGATTTATCTTCAGTGTGCAGCTGACTGATGTCTCTTGTCCATTTTATTTTATTTTGGTACTGGGATTTTGAATCCAGGGGTGCCTTTTACTGAGCTACATCCCCAGCCACTTAAACAATATTTTTTTTTGGTGGGAGGCACAGGGTCTTGCCAAGTTACTGAGGCTGGCCTTCAACTTGTGTTACTCTTGCCTCAGCCTCCTTAGTTCTGGTTCTTTTTGATTCAGGGATTGAATCCAGGGTTGCAGGGTCTTTCTGCATTGCTTATGGCCTCACTAAGTTGCTGATGCTGGCTTTGAACTCATGATCCTCCTGCCTCAGCTTCCTGGGCTGCTGGAATTACATGCATGTGCCACTGAGCCTGACTCTTTGCTCAGAATTCTTTTAATTTTTATCCCTAGCTTCCTTGCAGTCACTGGTGGGTCAGTATAGTTTAGTGTCAATCAGTGATTCAGAAGCTGTGGTTATACATGTTGAATCAGTTTGGCTTCCATTAAGGAAGTAAATGTATGAGTTTGGGAACATAAGTTCAGGCTGTTTATAAGTCTGTGCTGACACACATTTCTGCTTGTGTAGGTCTCATATTCATCCAGGAATGAGTCAACATCAGGCCCCTTCTATATTTTGTGGTCATGCCCACAGCCTTCCACATTCCCAGAAACAGGAAAGCTTATCAATACTCACCTTTGCTGTCTCATTTTCCATATCTCCCTGTTAAGTTTTGTCTGGTGTGCTTACCCAAACAGTGTTGCAGTTCCAGGAAGCTCTGATTGTGGCCTTCCCCAAATAATTGCTACCAATTTTGTTATTGTCTTTGACAGTATCCCTAAACATAGAGCTTTTCTATGGTGCTCCAAGTCAGGCCAACCCTCTCCAGTTTCAGTGAGGTTTCCATTTCTCATAGCTACTATTATGGTTTTGATTTTAAATATTCCTGAAAGGGCTGTGTCAAAAGATCTGGTTGCCAACCTGTGGTACTACTGGAAGGTGATGGAACCTGCAGGAGGTGGGGCCTGGTAGGAGGTTAAGTCATTGTGGTTGTAGTCTGGAAAGGGATATTAGGACCCTGGTCCCTTCATACACCTCTGTTGCTTCCCAGCTGCCATAATGTGAATGGGCCTGCTCAGCCATGAACTTGCCATGATGTACTATGCTGCCACAGGCCCAAGCAATAGTCAAATGACCATAAACTGGAACCTCTGAAACCAAGCCAAAATAAACCTTTCCTCTTTTAAGATTTTTTTTAAAAATCTGAGATAGTTTGTCACATTGATAGAAAGATGACTTAACATAGGTACCATACACACAGAGATGAGGATGGTAGCATTTCCAAGTTTAAATGCCACTGGTCTTACTAATATTTGGTTTTCCAGTCAATAAACAGTTTCCAATTTGATATGCCTCTGGTGAATTTCCAGTGTTCTAAAATGCTTTTACAGTTAAAAATTGCTTTTACAGTTCTGTAGCTGCTTTGGGGGGAGGAGATTTGATGAGTTTGTTATGGTTTGGATAAGAGATTTGATGAGTTTGTTATGGTTTAGATAATTAATACCTTCTGTATTAATTCAGGAGTGTTCAGAAATTAAATGATTAGATTACAAGTGCTGTGACCTAATCAGTCCATCCTAGATTGAATGGACTAACTGGGTGGTAAATGTAGGCAGGTGGGACATGGCTGAAGGAGGTGGTCACTGGAGGCATTCTCTGGAAGGATTTATCTTCCATGCAGCCTCTTCCCCTCTCTCTGCTTCCTGGCCACCACGAGTGGAACAGCTTTCCTCTGCCACACCTTTCTGCCATGATGTTCTGTCTCCATTCAGGCCCAAAGCAATGAAATCAGCAGACTATGGACTGAACCTCTGGAACCATGAGCCAAAATAAACTTTTCTTCCTCTAAGTGGTCTTGCCATGTATTTTAGTCACAGCAATGAAAAGCTAACACAAACTCCTTACTTCACCATTCCAGAACTTCTGTGAACAAGTGATTTTTTTGAAAAAGTGAAATATGGAGAAAGAATACTGAATTAAACAAATTCTGTGGAAACATTTGGTTTTATATTCATATGCAAAATAAAACAAAAGAATTTGGATTCATATGTCATACTATATTAAACATTAACTAAAAATGGATCATAGACCTAGGTATGAAACCTAAAACTGTAAAACTTCTAGAAGAAAACACAGGAAAAAAAGTCATTGTGATCTTTGTTTAGGCAAAGATTTCTTAGGTACAACACCAAAAGTGCAACTCATAAAAGAACAAATTGAAATGTAGGACTTCAACAAAATAAGAAGTTCTGACCTTTTGGGCTGGGGCTGGAGCTCAGTGGTGAGTGCTTGCCTAGCATGTGTGGAGCACTGGGTTTGATCCTCAGCACCACATAAGAATAAGCAAATGAAACAAAGGCATTCTGTCCAAAAAAAAGTTCTGATCTTCAAAATACACCACCATTAAGAGAATGAAAAGGCTGTCCAGTGACTGAAAGAAAACTTTTGAAAGGATAATGGACTGATGATGGACTTATATGCAGAATATGTAAATGCTCCAAAAGAAGGAAAAAACTTCACCAAATTAATAATAGGTGAAAGTTCTGAACAGACAATTATATGTATTCAAAAGATATCTAACATTATTAATCATTAGAGCAACGTAAAATTAATGTCACAATATCACTTTGTATGTACTGCAATAAAAGACTGATATGGCCTAAGAGAGTATCTCAGTGGTTAGATCACTCGCTGAGAATGCACAAAGCCCTTGGATTGATTTTTTGATTTTGTGGTTACTACAAAAAAAACTAATAAAAATAAGAGTTAATGATGTGTGGAGAAACTGGAACCCTCATGCATTAATACAGGAAATGTAAAAGGGTGTAGTCATATGAGGAATATACCTGGGTTTCAGGTCTCAGACATAGCTTGTCTGCATATACTGGGAAGGTACGATCATGATTTGGAGAATAATGAAATGAAAACTCAAATCATACTAAGATACGCTATACGCCAACTGTAATGGCCACAGTAAAAAAAAAAAAAAAAAAGAGAGAGAGAAAATGAAAATGAAAAAAGAAAAAGAAAATATTAAGGGTTGACATGAACGTGGAGCACCTAAAACTCACATACTATATTGGGGGTTGTTGGAAACTGGTTTTATAATGTTGAGTATACGAATACATACCTGGCAGTTCAATTTCTAAGTATATACCTAAAGGACGTGCATACATATGTTCACCAATAGATAGCAGTTGTATTCCTAAGAGCCCCAAGCTGAAAATAACCCAAATGTCTACCAACAGTAGAATGGATAAATATATTGAAGCATATTCACACAATAGAACACAACATGATAATGAGTTATTTACAAGTATATGCAACAATATGGATAAATCTCACATTCATAATGTTAATGATAAAAGAAAGACACTAAAGAGTCTATAACTCATATGAAATATCAATTTATATAAAATACAAAGCAGGTGAAATGAATCCATGCTGTTAAAGTCAGGATAGTGTTTACTCTTGGTATATGTGGAGGTCCTGGGAGGAAGTACACAAGAGAGCTTCTAGAGTGCTGGTCATGTTGTTCCTTGATCTGAGTATGTTCCATTTGTCAGAATTCATTGAGCTGTACACTTACATATAAGTGCATTTTCTGTATGCATTATACTTTAATAAAAATATTTTAAAAATAAATAATATGCTAGGAAGAAAGCCTTTTTTCTTATGAGTATTGTGAAAAATGTTTAAGGGAAAGTGGGAAAGTGTCTATATATCAGTGCTTTAAAAAAAGCAGCATTTGCTTGGCACTGTGGCACACACCTGTAATCCCAGCAGCTTGGGAGGTTGAGGCAGGAGAATTTCGAGTTCAAAGCCAGCCTCAGCAATAGAGCACGGCCCTGTCTCAGAATAATTTTTTTTTAAAAGGCTGGGGATGTGGCTCAGTGGTTAAGCATCTGAGTTCAGTCTTCAATCCCCAGTTTAAAAAGAAAAAGAAAAAGCGGTGTTCTTTCTAGAGAAATCTCCCAGTTATTCAACAATAAGAAACTGTATCTTGGAACAACCAATTGCAATGCAATATGACTGTATCACACAGTAATTTACACAAAACCACCCTTAATGTGCATGTAGGAAATGAATATATATTTACCAAATTGGAAGGAAAATACAATTTTGTGTATTGAAATCCAGTTTCTCAACAATTCTTTTTCAAAAAGGAATTCTAAGGCAGGCAGGGACATCCATGGATGAGGCTGAAAATCCATAGTGCTGTGGCTCAGTCTCATTGTCTTGGGGTCAATTGGGTAATAAGAGGATAAGGAGTCTTTGTTCTGTAGCTTATATAGATGATAGCTTTGGGGGAACGGGTTAGAAAGCATGTAGGGTATGATTCACCTGTGGCCAGAGGAGAGAATTAATAAGGGAACAATTGCCATCTTTAGATGTCTATAACCTTTAATGACTATATTCTTGTAACACAGGATAAAGCTGTGCCTAATTTTCCAATTCTTTGGGGGTGGGTACTGGGGATTGAACTCAGAGGCACTCAACCCCTGAGCCACATCCCTAGCCCTATTTTGTATTTTGTTTAGAGACAGTCCATTGGGTTGCTTGGTGCCTTGCTTTTGCTGAGGCTGGCTTTGAACTCGCAATCCTCCTGTCTCAGCCTCCCAAGCTGCTGGGATTATAGGTGTGCACCAGCACACACAGCTAATTTTCCAGTTCTTAAGGTCAAAATTTAAGTCTAAAAATTCTCTTTCATTTAGAAAGAGTAGTTCTTCATGGGAATCTTTCTGTGTCTCAATTATCAAGGATCACAAACTCTTCTGGTTCTACTGACAGATCTGCATTTTCAATAAATTTTTAGCCTTAACTTCAGGGCCCTTCAACTGGACAATGGAAAACTTCTCCTCACCCTAGAAATGTGAAACAATTTGGGCCAATACTGAGTACTTTTATGTCCCAGGATACAAAGAACTAATGAGTGCTGAAATGTATAAGTCCTTCATCCCAAAAATGGAACATAAGAGATGATGAGTCATCTCGTGTCTTTATTTCTACCATTTTCAGGAGTTGACAGCCTCAGTATCAATCATGTAACCAAACATAACTGTTGCTCAGATATTCCATCTAAATGGTCTTCCTGTGCATTTAAGAGTCTGTCAGTTGTGGTGATGCTGGAACTTTTATTTCTAGTTGAGTGAAGGCTATTTGGCTTTGCCTGGCTTCTGCTCCCTCAGGTCACACTGCCTCTCATTTCTACTTCCCCCTGCACAGTGATTGCAGCATCAGGCATTCCTCTTTACCACTAGGACCTATCTGATGGACGTGTTGTGATTTCCAGTTCTGAAACAGCCTTCAGTCACTGGCTTTGTAGTGTTTTTCTCCACTGTGTGTTTTCTGGTGTTTAATAAGATTCGATCTGTCAGTGAAACCTCTCTGACATTGTGTACAAGCATAAGGTTTCTTTCCTGTATGAATTATCTGATGCATGCTGAGTGTTGCTTTTTGGATAAATGCTTTCCCACATTTACCGCATTCATAGTGTCTCTCTCCAGTATGGGATTTCTGATGTATATTGAGGCGTGACTTCCAGGTAAAGGTTTTTCCACAGTCACTGCATTTATAGGGTTTCTCCCTTGTATGGATTTTCTGGTGTGTTATGAGATTTGACCGATCCGTGAAGGCCTTTCCACATTCAGCACATATATTGGGCTTCTCGCCTGTGTGAATTTTCTGATGTACCCGGAGCTGTGACTTCTTAGTGAAGCATTTTCCACAGTCACCACATTCATAAGGCTTTTCTCCAGTATGAATTCTATGGTGTGCAATGAAATGTGATTTCTGGATGAAAGCCTTCCCACATTCAGGACAAACATAGGGTTTCTCCCCTGTGTGAATTCTCTGATGCACTCTTAGTGTTGATTTCTGGATAAAGGCTTTCCCACATTCCTTGCACACATAGTGTCTCTCTCCAATATGAGATTTCTGATGGATTTTGAGGCGTGACTTCCATATGAAAGCTTTCCCACAGCCATTGCATTTATAGGGTTTCTCTCCAGTATGAGTTTTTTGGTGTTTGATGAGATTAGACTGATCAGTAAAAGCCTTCCCACATTCAGCACACATATAAGGCTTCTCCCCAGTGTGAGTCTTCTGATGTGTGGTGAGATTTGTCCTATGAGTGAAGACCTTTCCACACTCTGTACATATGTAGGGTTTCTCTCCTGTGTGAATTCGCTGATGCACATGGAGCTGCGACTTCTTAGTGAATGATTTCCCACAATCTCTGCATTCATAAGGTTTCTCTCCAGTGTGAATTCTCTGATGTGTATTGAAGTGTGATTTCTGGATGAAGGCCTTCCCACACTCAGTACACACATAAGGTTTCTCTCCTGTGTGAATTCTCTGATGCATCCTGAGGGCAGATTTTCTTGTGAAGGCTTTTCCACATTCGCTGCATTCATAGTGTTTCTCTCCGGTATGAGTTTTCTGATGTATACTGAGGTCTGAATTCTGGGAGAAGCCTTTTCCACACTCACTACATTCATAAGGTTTTTCTCCTGTATGAATTCGCAGATGTCTAAAGAGATCTGATTTCTGGAAAAAGGCTTTCCCACATTCACTGCATTTATAGGGCTTCTGCCCAGTATGAATTTTCTGGTGTGTAATGAGGTTTGACTTGAAGGTAAAGGCCTTCCCACATTGAGTACATACATAGGGTTTCTCTCCTATCTGAACACTCTGATGTCTATCAAGTTTTGGCTTCTGAGTGAAGACTTTCTCACTTTTGTTGCATCCATGGGATTTTTCTCCAGCATGAATTTTCTGATGTCCAAAGAGATCCAACTTCTGACTGAAGCCCTTTACACATTTACTACATCCATGAAGTTTCTCCCCAGTAAGAATTTTCTGATGATCAATGAGAGTTTGTTTGTGATTGACGTGTTCTTCACACTGATTATGTCCATGGGAATTCGCTCTTGTGTTAGTATTCTCATTCTTAGTAGAGAAAGAACTGTCAGCGAAATTGTTACCATTTCCAAATATCCTCTCAAGGCTCTTTGTTGCAGTGCTTTGGTTATAATTATGTAAGTTTAAAGTATGCTTCAAACTCTTTCCAAATGTGTCATATTTATGGAGTCTTTTAATTGAAGGAACAAGCTTGGTAGTCATGTGAATTATTCTTTCAAGGTTTTGACATTCGTAGCCCCTCTCCTTAATTAATATTTTGACAAGACTTAAAGGGTTCATCTGGTTTTCCTGATATCTCTCTAGTTGGTCATTCTCTTGCCACAGTTCTTCCAAAATGGAACACAGTGAATCTTCTCCTGTGGGTTGATCAAATCTCTCACAGTGGAATGAAACTTCTCCAGAAATTTCCTGTTGTTGAGTTTTCCTACTATCTTCACCTAAAAAGAAAAGTAAAAATGAGAATGACAGGGCTGGGGTTGTGGCTCAGTGGTAGAGTGCTTGCGTAGCACATATGAGGCACTGGGTTTGATCCTCAGCACCACATAAAAACAAATAAATAAAATGAAGGTATTGTGTCCATCTACAACTAAAAATATTTTTTAAAATGAGAATGACACAAAGAACAATTAGCAAAGGATGGGAGAGGATCCAAGTAGTTCATAAAGGATGAACACACAGAAATGGAAGTGTCTATATGACAAAAATAATAACAGCAATGTAATAATAAAAAATTCTTACAGGACACTTAAAAGATGCAAATGATTCTATATCATTTATGACACACCAAACTGTTCCAAGTGCTTTCCACACAGTAACTCACGGACTCTTCAATGAAGCCTATGAGGTGGTTGCCATTATGAATGGTGTTTTATAGAAAAGAAAATGGAGGCACACCGAAGTTATGTAAGTTGCTAAAGATCAAATCACTAAGTGGGAGAGATGGGATTTGAAGCTTCAGAATTTGGCTCTGCTAGGATATCTGGATAGTGAACAGAGTAAACAGAAGAAACTGAAGTCTGTTAAGAAGAAGCCTGGGGGTTGGGGTTGTAGCTCAGTGGTAGCTTGGCTAGCATGTGTGGGTCACTGGGTTAGATTCTTAGCACCACATAAAATAAATGAATAAATAAAATAAAGGTATTGTTTTCATTTACAACTAAAAATATATTTTAAAAAAGAGGAAGCTGGGCTTGGAAGAAGTATTCCAAAATGCATTTTCTTATTACATATCAGCTCAAAACCTTTGTGAGATCTCTGCTCCCTCTTGCTTCTCCCGCTGAGCTATTAGCAACAATATTACATTTCTATGTGACAAGCACCACCACCTTTATATCAGTAGGAAAACTGTAACCCTGCCATTCTGACACAATGGTAAATACATGTCTATGCTCCAGCTCTAAAACCAGCTGCAAGTTTTTCTTGGATTCAGGAACACAGGCTTCTAATAAGAAGTATAAAATAGAAGAGGGAAAACCATATGAGGCAGAAACTGCAAGCCTTCCACCAAGATCTCTTCTTTCTTTAGTAGTAACAGAATGTAAATTCACCAGCCTCACTTTCTTCTTACCAATGGGATTTGAGCTGAAGCAATATATATTGCCTAGGAAGGCCTAGACAGTGGGCAAATCTCCTCTTTTCTCTTTCCCCTTCCTACTCGATTCCACAGTAATCAATGCAGCTGACAATGCCTAGGAAATGGCAGAGCAATGACTTCGAACATAGTCCCTGAATGATGGATCAGGATCAGCATGATATTAAGCTTTGTCCATGGAAATTGCTGGAGAGGCACTGCAAGCCAAAGTGGGTTTGCTTCCTGGTTCGAGGAGTTCACTCAGCAGAACTTGTTGAACTGAACCAATTCATCTCAGAATTCTAAGATAATTTTGTTTAGCTTGTAGTTTTGTTCTTCTGTGCATTTTCAAATATTATTCAAAAAATAGCTCCAATTTCACTACTCTAGGGATGTTATATTTGCTATTAATTTTTTTGGAGGTACTAGGGATTGAACCTAAGGGTATTCTACCATCAAGTTATATTCCAACCCCCCCCCCCTTTTTTGAGAAAGGGTGCTAAGTTGCTGAGGTTGACCTTGAACTTGTGATCCTCCGGCCTCAACTCCCAAGTTACTGGGATTACAGATGTATGCCACCACACCCAGCTGCCAGCATTTAATAAAGCAGACACTGTGCCACTCATGTTTTTTTGGTGTGTGTTTGTGGTACTGAGGATTATGTCTCTGAGCTACATCCCCATCCCTTTTTCGTTTTAATTTTATTTTGAGATAAGATCTCACTAAATTGCCAAGACTGTTCTCAAACTTGTGATCCTCTTGCGTTGCTGGCATTACAGATGTGTGCCAGTGCACCTGGCAGTACCACTCATATTGATACTTGATTTGTCACTGTTTAATGTTGTAAGCAAAAGAACTATTACAAAAAGGCTGAGTGTGTTAATGTTCATGCAGTTGTCTTTCCTTTTAAAATATAGTGTACAGTCCTCTGAATTTTTCTGAAGAGATGCTTAAAAATGCTTCTCAAAGAGCATATAATGTCTGTTTCTATCTCCAAAATTCAATAAATTTAAGTTTACTACATATATTCTACATATTTTACTTCAGGAAAATGAAGATTAAGGGTGCCAGTTATGAATCAATTGCCTCTCAGCTCCAGGTTCACCCTTTACAAAAATGGATCTGGGTTTTTCCTTAAGTACTTTTTTTCCCTTTCAAGCAACCATGATATTAAACTTTGTTCATGGAAGTTGCTGGAGAGGCACTGAAAGCCAAGGTGGGTTTCCTTCCTGGTTCCAGGAGTTCACTCAGCAGGCTCCTCCAGCCAGGGCAGCTTGTCTAGCATTCCTGCAGCATGGGTGGCTTTACCATCTGGCACCTGATGCACACACAGCATCCCTGGAACCCAGGTCTTGCAGTATGGATGGCTTCTCTGAGCTTAGTGCCTACAGCATGGATGACTTTTCAGAACCCAGTTCTAGCAGCTCAAATGGCTTCCCAAGCAACCAGCTCACACAGCACCAATAGCTTCTCCAGCTCCAAGCTCATGCAGTGCGTTTTGGTCAGTAGTACCCAGCACCTAATACCTTACTCTGTACCTCTCTCAGATGATTTGTAGTAGACTCCCTCCAGTGAGACACCTCCCTATGAAGAGTTTTCTCTGGAACCTCAGAGTGAAGATTTCCAGCAAGTTCTGGCAGTGTGGTACTACAGCAATTCTTTCACCAGGCCATAAGCCACAGCTATACCCTCCTTACAAGGTCTGGATCTCATCCCTGGGAAGTAAAGGAGCCTCTTCCCTGGGTACTTTACCTCAGACTGCTATGGGCTTGGATACTGTTTATGTGGAAGGTGACTGGGTCTCTGGGAGCACTGACCTTGGAAGGGATTAATATAGTTTTTATGTGATCCAACTTAGTTCTCAAGAGAAGATTGGTATAAACAAGTGAGACTGGCCCCTGTCTGATCTTTCTCTGGCTTCCTGTCTTTTCATGTGCTTTCTCTCTCTCACACATGCTCACATCCTGATGCTATCTGCCATGTGGTGATCCAGTGAAGGGGGCCCTGACCAGAGGTCAAATCCATCGGATGGCCTGATCTTGGACTTTGTCTCCAAAACTGTGAAATAAATAACATCTTTTCTTTCTAAATTATCCCACCTCAATATTTTGTTACAGGGCTGGGGATATAGCTCAGTTGGTAGAGTGCTTGCCTCGCATACACAAATCCCTGGGTTCAATCCCCAGTACCACACACGCAAAAAAAAAAAAAAAAAAAAAATTATTACAGTAACAGGAAATAGATTAACACACAGCCCTGGAGGAATTGGCTTTGCCTTGTATCTGCTATTCCTTTATTTTTAGGATTCTCTTTACTAGTTAATATCTCATTTTTTCAATTGCATTACAGCTAAAAATCTTCATGTTAAACTTTCTCTGTTCAAATTAGTGTGTGGTTTTTCTCTCTTGATCAGACCCTGCATCATACAATATGAACTAGGCTTCTAATGTACACAGATTTTAAAACATCATGCATATGATATAAACAATTTTTATTTGTCAATTTAAAATTTAATACTTAAAAAACAACAATCATCCAGGCATGGTGGCACTGGGAATGCTGAGGCAGGAGGATTGCAAGTACAATACTAGCTTTGATAGTGGAACCTTGTTTCAAAATCAAAAATAAAAAGAGATGGGAAGGTTTCTCAGTGATAAAGCATTTCTGGGTTCTATCCCTGGTACAAAAATAAAATAAATAAGGCAAAGCTGGCTCCTAAATCTGGATACTTTCTAAAACAGAATTAAAAGCCACATAGTCTAAAATTCTGTACTTTCCTCTGAGTTGCTGTGAAATAGGAGATGGAAAAATGGAGTGAGACATACATGTGCTAGAGTAATTAAGAGCTATTGCCTGGCTGGGGTATGGCTTAGTGGGAGAATGAGCTTAGCATACATGAAATCTTGGGTTCATTTCCCAGCACCACAAAAAAGTCATTACATGGGACAGGTGAACTCTGATCACAAGATGGAAAATGTGTCATTGGGATAGACAGAGTCCAGGATGAAGACTCAGATGTTCTTGGAAGACTAACAAATATTGTTGGGAGCCACTCTGGATAGGAGCTATGTACACACCTTTAAGTCCTGAGTAAAGAGATATTGAACTGGTATTGCACCACTGCAATGCAATTGAACCTTTCCTCCACTCAGATAAGAGAAGTGCATCTCCAGGAGTGGGTGTCACCCAATGGGGTTGGATTGCACTCACTTGTTTGTTGTAACCCTACCCTTGCCTCAATTTAAATGGCTTCTCCCCAATAAAACCCGGGTTGGAGGCATGCTCCTTCTCTTTCTTGCCTGCCTTGCCCGCTTTGTGGGAGCTGTGGCTGAGGAGTAGTCACTGAGCCCAATGAAAACAATACTTTCTGTGTCTGTGTCTTTATTTAGTTAGCCCAAATTCACTTGGAGTGTCCCTGATTGATTTAGTTGCATATCCCCACAAAATATGATAAACATTAAGAAAATATTAAAAGTGGATTTAAGCAGAGGTTATAAAAATATACAGATACAATTCTGAATTGGAAATATGTTGTTTATCTCTTTGGAAGAAGAGTTTCATTGTCACATACTAGACAAGAGGGAGAAACTGTAGCTTTGTCTTAGCTCATGACAAGATAAACAGAGTGTTTTAGGTAATGAAATCTGTCATTAGCATTTAAAATGAACTTATAAGAGAATGAAATCAAACTGGTCACAGTGGCACATGCCAAACTCCAGTGATTCAGGAGGCTGAGGCAGAAGGATTATAAGTTTGAGGCCAGCCTCAGCAATTTAGTGAGATCCTATTTCAATACAAAGAGTCAAAAGGTCTAGGGATGTAGCTCACCAGAAAAATGCCCCTAGGTTCCATCTATAATACTAATATTACTACTACCAGGACGACGACTACGACTACTACTACTACTAGTAATACTAAAATAAAAAATAAAGCACCAGACCGAGGATATCAAAGGAGGAGCCATCAGAATATCAATATGTTTAGGCCACTGGATGAACATGAAGAAAAGGCTGATGAACATTAGACAGGGTTTCCGGGGCAACCCAATTTATGGGAAAAATGGTAGAAAAGGCTAGAGAAAAAGGCAAATAATGAACTGGATACAAATCAGTAAGAAACAGACAGTTGAAGATATTCAATTGAGGGCTGGGGATGTGGCTCAAGCGGTAGCGCGCTCGCCTGGCATGCGTGCGGCCCGGGTTCGATCCTCAGCACCACATACCAACAAAGATATTGTGTCTGCCGAAAACCAAAAAATAAATATTAAAATTCTCTCTCTCTCTCTCTCTCTCTCTCAAAAAAAAAAAAGATATTCAATTGAAACAATGAAAATATTATGAACATTCCCATAGAAACCAAACTTGAAGAGATATCAGGTAAATTCTGAAATGCTCAAATGAGGTACTAGAAAAAATGCAAAATTTGAAAATGAGATATCACATTGGATGTAGCAGCACACACCTACAATCCCAGCAGCTGGGAAGGCTGAGGCAGGAGGATTGCAAATTTGATACTAGCTTCAGCAACTTAGTGAGACCCTGTCTTAAAATAAAAAATAAAAGGATTGGGGATGTAGCTTAGTGGTAAAGTGCCACTGGGTTTGATCTCAAGTACAGCAAAAAAAGGGGGGGGTTGGGAAAAATGCAGCTTAGTGGTAGAATGCTTGCCTAACAAGATTGAGGCCCTGGGTTCAATCCTAGCTCCACAAAGACAGAAAGAGACATATGGGCCACTTTATACCCACTGTTGGACCAAAAAAAAAAAAAAAAAAAAAAAAAAGAGACACTATTAGTACTATTAGACACTAGACACTATGGTTACTATTACTTGTTAGCAGATACACTGGGATAACAAGAGCCCTTATACTCTGTTGTGGGGAGTATAATTAGTGCAGACAATCGATGAATAATATGTGGTACTTAGTCAAATTCAGGATGAGGGACTGGTAATTTAGTTCAGTAGTATAGCACACGCGTAATGTGCACAAGGCCCTGGGTTCCATCCACAGTATCAAAAGAAAAAAAAGACAAGGAAAGAAAGAAAGAAAAAGAAAAAAATTCAGGCTGAGCATACACAATATTTAGGCAACCTCTCTTTTTCACACATCCTTGAGAAATTTTCATACTCCATAAAGGAAAATTTGTATGTACATTTATTGTGGAATTTGCATTAACTGGAAGTTCAGTGTCCACTGGATGAATGGTTAAGTAAGGTGTGGTCTTGGCCCACTGTAGAATACTATGCAGCAATCTGTAGAACAAAGCCAGATGAACACACTATAGTTACGAACATCCCTTAGGGAGGAGTGGGAAAAAAGAATAGAATTAAGATATATAGAATAATATAACTTGTATATACTATAAATATATACTCATAAACCAATACTTCAGGGTTTATGAGAATATCACATAAATTCATGGATCATATCATTAATTGCCATCATAGAATAAGGGATGGATATGGGGAATGGAAACAAAACAAAATAGAAATTTTAAAAGCATCTGATGTACAAGGGAAGAATCTAAACTCGGGGATAGGAATGGAGTAGGAAGAGTGAAAAGGTCCTAGCTAGGTGCAGTGGCACATGCCTATAATCCCAGCAACTCAAGAAGCTGAGGCAAGAGAAGTTCAAGGCCAGCCTCAGCAACTTAGTGAGGCCCTAAGCAATTTAGTGAGATCCTGTCTCAAAAAAAAAAAAAAATATATATATATATATATATATGACTGGAGATGTAGCTCAGAGGTAAAGCACCACTGGGTTCAATTCTTAGCAACAAAAAGAAAATGTTGCTTAGGGTCTCACTAAATTGCTGAGGCTGGCCTCAAACTTGCAATCTTTCTCCCTCAGCCTCCTGAGTTGCTGGGATTACAGGCATGTGCCACCATACCCAGCCCCAAAATTTAGAACTTTCAAGATCAAATTATCTTCACAACCTTTCTCAGGCATTGGCCTCTTCTAAGAAAAGTGGGATTTACTTTTATATACAAAATACATTATGCCCCCATCTGMTGGGTCACACACCTGAACAGCTTTGACATGGGGCTTCCCCCTCCAGTGTCCATGGCCTCTCTCCTTGCTCCAACTTGTAGATGGCTTCTAATTTGGGAACTTGATATCCTATTAACAGAATATAATACAGGGTTGGGTCTAGCCAATCAGGTTTCAGGGACCTTTCAATGAAGCTTCCCATTTGCTCTTCAGGAAAGTCCCCAGGTTTGATGGAACAAAGAAATAAATAGAGGTGAAAGGGACTGAAGAATCACAGTCAAATCAAGGGTGACACCATCACACACTTGGGATGCCTCAGAGCACTCAGTGGCTGAGAATAGAAATGTCATACTGAGGCCCCTAGCCGACTCATGAGCACCAGTGCTTACCCACTGAGATCAGATGATGGTAGTTCTCCAGTGTCACATCCCAGTACAGGCGTCTCTGAACAGGGTCCAAATGCTGCCATTCCTCCCTGCTGAAGTTCACAGTCACATCCTCAAATGATATGGATACCTGTAACAACACAACCCTGTTCAAGGTGACATGGTCAGCACAGGGGGATGGCAGAAGATAGAGAAGAAATTGTTTTTTAATGCTCTTTTACCATAATGTAACATATAGGGTTTTTGCTAGATTTACATTTTATGATATGATAAGTAAAAACTTAACTAAAAGTATTTTGACATTCCTTGTGTACTACATTTATTCATTTATCCATTATGTCATTCTACTTTAAAAATGGGGATTTAAATGGGCTTTCTTTCTTTCTTTCTTTTTTTTTTTTTTGAATACCAAGGATTAAACTCAGGGGCCTTCAACCACTGAGCTGCATGCCCAGTCCTATTTTGTATTTTATTTAGAGACAGGGTCTTACTGAGTTGCTTAGTGCCTTACTTTTGCTGAGGCTAGCTTTGAACTCATGATCCTTCTGCCTCAGCCTCCCAAGTGGCTGGGATTAAATGTATATGCCACCATGCCTGGATAAATGGGCCTTCTTTAAATTCTCTAGTTAACTTAGGAACTAGACACAATATATTTAATAATCAGTTATGTGCTGGATGTGTTAGGCAATGGCAATATAGAGTTGAATAAAATATAAAATGACTTAAAGACTTGACTAACCAACAAAGGAAGACAGAAGGGGGTAATGGATGATTTAGATTAGGTTACACAGAGATGATACGGTTAGAGTTATCTAGAAAGGATATGAACAAATGTATGAATAAAGGTATGGAATAAGGAAACAATTAAAATAAATGATTTATTCAGGAAATTTCAAATAATTTTATAAAAGGGGAGGAATTTATGTAATAGATTGAGAAGCAGTTGTGAGGAAAACTGTAGAGATATATTAGGGTTAGAACAAGGAACAATCCTTTTTTTCCTCATGGAGAATGGACTGCCATTTAAACACAGGAAAAGACAGAATCATAATAGTGTGCTTTAAAACAGTAGTCAAGGTACATCATAGGAATGTTTGAAATGGTTGAGACTTGATGATCAGTGTGGAGATGCACTATAGAGTTCATGTGAGAGAAAAGAAAAGCTGGACTTAACAATGGAATGGAGAAGTTGAGGATGTAGAAGACAGTTTTAAAAAAATATTTATTTTTTAGTTGTAGTTGGACACAATACCTTTGTTTTATTTATTTATTTTTATGTGGTATTGAGGATCAAATCCAGGGCCTCCCATGCACTAGGCAAGTGCTCTACCACTGAGCCACAACCCAAACCTCTAGAAGACAGTTTTTTTTTTAAGTTGCTGATGGACCTTTAATTAATTGGTTAATTAATTTATATGTGGTACAACTCCAGCCCCTTAGAAGATAGTTTTGATGCAATGTTTTAAGGAGGCTGAATTGTGGGAGCAGGATGCAGTGGCACACATCTATAATCCCTGTGACATGGGAGGCTGAGGTACAAGGATCACAAGTTAGAGGCCAGCCTCAGCAACTTAGTGAGACCCTGTCTCAAAATAAAAAAAAAAAATATAGTTCAGTGGTTAAAGTTCCCTGGGTTCAATCCCAGTACCAAAAAAAAAAAAAAAAAAAAAAAAAAAAAAAAAAAAAAAAAAAAAGAAGGAGGAGGCTGAATTGCAGGGTGAGAAAAATAATGAATCTAAGGCAATATTCAGTGATTGGTTTTACATAAACATGTAGATCATAAACTGAGAGGTTAACAGAATAGGAGGGGGTGGGGAAGAGGATGAAACATAATGTCACATTTTGAAATTAAGGTGATAAAACTTATATGGGATTGTATGACATGGACTAGGATAGAAGTTTTGATTTGGAAGTTCTCACTACAGAGTAGGGAATCAGTTGAGACTGCTCAGGAGGAGCATACAGACAGACAAGACACGAAAGCCTACCATACAGACCATCTTTAAACATAGTGCAACTAAGTCAAAAAACATTAATAGGCTTGGGATATGCTCAGTTGGTAGAGTGTTTGCCTCGCATGCACAAGGCCCTGGGTTCAATCCCCAGCATCTCTCTCTCTCTCTCTCTCTCTCTCTCTCTCACACACACACACACACACACACACAAACATTAATAAATGGGATCTTTTCAAAAACCACAATTTTAAAGTTTTAAAAACATAGTTCAGTTGGGCACAGAGGGGCATGTCTATAATCCCGTGACTCAAGAAGCTGAGGAAGGAAGATTGCAGATTGAGGCCAGCCTCAGCAACTTAGTGAGACCCTGTCTCAAAATTAAAAAAAAAACATAATATAATATAACAAACATAAAAAGGCTGGAGATGTGGCTCAGCGATTAAGCACCCTGCGTTCAATACCCAGTACCAAAAACAAAACAAAATAAAACAAAACCCTAAAAAACATAGTTCAAAATAACTGATGGTCTTAAGAAGATACAGTTGACCCTCTCTGTTAATGGCAAATTCCATTCCTGTGGATTCAACCACCTGTGGATTGAAAAAAAAATGCTTCTGTACTGAACATGTACAGATCTTTTGTCATTATTCCTTAAACAATGCAGCATAACTATTTATACAGAATCAGGTATTATAAGTCATTTACATATGATTTAAAGAACACCAGAGGATGTGCAAAGGTTGACTCAAGCATCCAAGGATTTTGGTATCAGTAGTGGGTTCTAGAGTCAGTCCCCTGTGGATACTGAGAGACAACTATAGTATAGTCTAAGAAAATACACTAGATATACCTAGAGCCAACACTAATGAAATTAGTACTGTAAGAATTTATAGGATGGCCTGGGGATGTGGCTCAAGCGGTAGCGTGCTCGCCTGCCGTGCATGCGGCCCAGGTTCGATCCTCAGCACCACATACAAACAAAGATGTTGTCTGTAGAGAACTAAAAAATAAATATTAAAATTCTCTCTCTCGGGGCTGGGGATGTGGTTCAAGCGGTAGCGCGTTCGCATGGCATGCATGCGGCCCGGGTTCGATCCTCAGCACCACATACAAACAAAGATGTTGTGTCCGCCAAATACTAAAAAATAAATATTAAAAAATTTAAAAAAAAAATTTCTCTCTCTCTCTCTCTCTCCAAAAAAAAAAAGAATTTATAGGATATATCACAACTCAATTTCATGGACTCTGATAAGCCATTTCTAAAATTTCTGTGGAGATGCAAATGGCCAAGACTAGCCATGAGACTCCTGATTAGTATAAACAAGGTGGGAGGACAAGGTTTACAAGACTTTAATTTACAAAGCAATGGAAATTTATGATATTGTGGTACTGGTGCTCAGATAATCCATTGGAACAGAACAGAGAGGACAGAAACACACCCACATATATGATCATGTGATTTAAGCCAAAGCTGTTCAATCAGATAGTGAGAACATTTTCAATAAATGATGCCATAAAAAAACTTTGTGTACAATCAGAGACTTGAAAAATTGTGCTCTATATGTGTAATATGAAATGAATTGCATTCTGCCATCGTGTATAACAAATTAGAATAAACAAATAATTTAATTAAAAAATAAATAAATGGTGCCATGACAGGTACATACAGGAAGAGATTAATTTTTTTTAATATTTATTTTTTAGTTTTAGGTAGACACAATATCTTTATTTTACACTTATGTGGTGCTGAGGCTTGAACCCAATGCCTCTAAGGATTGAACCTAGTGCCTCATGCATGTTAGGCAAGCCCGCTACCACTGCTCCACAACCCCAGCTCAGGAAGAAGTACAATTTGATCCCTACTCCACATCATATGCAAAAAAAAAAAAAAATCAACTCCAGATAAATTATACACCTAAAAGTGAAAGGCAAAAACTTTTAGAAGACTATCTTCATGATTGTAGATCAGAAAAATAATTCCCAATGGGAAGAAGACAACATTAACCATAAAAAAAGACTGATGGGGCTGGTATGTAACTCAGTGTCTAGAGTGTTGCTTAGCATGTGCAAGGCTCTGGGTTCAATTCCTAGTACCAAAATAAAAAGAAAGAATCCTGGCACAGTGGTACACACCCATAATCTCAGCTACTCAGGAGGTTGAGGCAAGAGATCAGCTGGGACAACTTTGGCAAGACACTGTCTTAAAATAAAATAAAATAAAATAATAGGGCTCAGGATATAGCTTAGTGGTAGAGCATCACTGGGTTCAATCCCCAGTTCCATACACAAAACATGACTGATGAGAGTATGTTTACAATGAAGTTTAGCACTTCTAGTCATTTAAAAGACAGTATTTAAAAAGGAAGAAAGGCCAGATGCGGTGGTGCATGCCTATAATTCTAGCAACTTGGGAGGCTGAGGCAGGAAGATCCACAAGTTCCAGGTCAGCCTCCATAATTTAGCAAGACCCTGTCTCACAATATAAACAAAAAGGGTAGAGAATATAGCACAGTGGTAGAGAATTCCTGGGTTAAATCCCCAGTACCAAAAAATTAAAATTAAAATTAAAAAAGAGGAAAAAAAGAAAGCTATCACATAAAAGATAATCTGCAGCACATATTACTAATAAAAGATGTACAGAATTTCAAACCAGTGAGAATAAGAGTTCACCTAGTAGAAAAATGGACAAGGGATTTAACGGGCATTTTACAAAAGAGGAAATCCAAGGCTTCAATACACATAGGAAAAAGGTTTAACATTTTAGACATTAAGGAATACAAATTAAAACCATAATGAGATACCATTACATAACCCCTAGAATGTCTTAAATGAAAAAAAAAACTGACAGTACCAAGTATTGAAGAGAACATGATGCAAAAAGAACTCTGTTATTGCTGATGGTGGTATGAACTGCTGCAACCACTTTGGAAAGTACTTAAGATCTATCAGTTAATGCTGAAGAGGTATACACAATACATTGCACTGCCCTAATCTTGTACTGACTAGGTGACCTAATTGAATTTCTACCCTACCTTAACTTTGTTTATCTTTGAGGAAAGGATGCCTGAAGGCCAGAAGTTCCTCTTCAGGTGGGCTGGCTGCAACTGGTGTACCTATGATGGCTGCCAGAGTGACCTCCAAACAATCACTAACTTCATTATAATAAAACACGTGA